ATTTAAGACTGGGCCCGGCGCAGTAACCTAGCAGCTAGAGTCCTTGCCTTCTATGCTCCGGGATCCCATAGGGATGCTGGTGCACATCCCTGTCACTCCCCTTCCCATCCAGCTCCCCTCTTGTGGCCTGAAAGAGCAGTTGAGGATGGCTCAAAGCCATAGGATCCTGCACCTGCATGGGAAGAAGCTCCTGGCTTCGGATTGGTGCAGCTCCAACAGCTGCATTCACTTGGGGAGTGAATCACTCTAGGGAAGATCTTCCTCTCTGTCTCTCCTCCTTTCTGTATATCTGACTTTCCGATAAAAATAAAATAAATCTCTTTTTTAAAAAAAATCTAAAATCCATTAAGGAATTCTTGTCTGTTTTCCTGCTTTATGATACATCTATGTCACCATCCCAGGGACAATTATACAAGAATTATGCATCTGTTATTCCTAAATCACCATTAAAAAGACCAAAGTAGAAGAAAGTACAAATAATGAAATGGCTTAGAACACTGCCATTTAACAGAATTCTCATCAGTGATCAAAATGTTCTATTCTGTGTTGTTCAAAACATTAGGCATCAGTCACATGGGCTAAAAAAAGAATTTGAAATGTGGCAAGTGCAACAGCGAGACTGAATTTTATTGCTAATTAATGTAAACTTAAATAACCTAGGAGCCTTATGGCTACTCTGGAACAGCACAGGACCAAGAGAACGATTCATTTGTGAAATAAACTATTAGTGTTTCTTCATCATATGTATTTCTCATTGCATTGTCTTAAATGTCACATAATTCTTTCTAAAGAGAGAAGACTGGAGAAGCCATTCTTTGTGCTTTGCTTTAAGTTTCACTGAATATTTAGAATTTTTCATTTCCACCTTCACGACAAGGAAAAACAGCAGAGATTAGGGTTTCACAAGCACCGGGGGAGTCGTGGACGGATGCAGGTGATGGGGTTGGGGGGATGCATCACAGAAGGGAGACCCCAATCTGCGAGGCCTTGGGTGTAACTTCCCCCATCAGTTTTTCCAAATGGAGAATCAAGGAGTGAGTGATTTGCTGCTAAGGACAAAAGAAAACACACAGGCAAGAAGAAGGACCTCCACAAATGGCATTCTGTGAGAAGCACCCGCACCATTCTGCTTTACTAAATCAATGTGGGAAAGTACCCTTCCACCATTTGTTGAAAATTTTCTTTTCAGCATCTCGGAACATCAAAATTTACTTTTCTACAATTTGAGAATGGACGAGTGCTGAAGGTATGTATCCAAGGTGATTATAAGGAAACATATCAAAAGTGAAGACATTCAACAGACTGCTTCAAAAACGCAAGTATTCCATGAACACAAATAGTAAATTGTGAAGACTTTTTTTTTATATCAATGGCTAAAATGTACATCGTATACTAATCAACATATCAGTATAAACTCCAGAAATAAAAGGAAAATAGTTTATTTCTAGTTAATTAGTCATCTTGAGACATTCTGATGCATGGTCCTAGAGCCCAGCCTTGGGATGAAACTCTGTGTCCAAAACCTAGGGCAAGACCTTTGGCAAGTTAGTCAGCCTCTCTAGGATCCAGGTTCCCTCATCTGTAAAAACAAGGATTAAAAAGTGACTTCCTCTTTTATGGAGTTTTACAGAGAGTATATTTTGCATGCAAAGTGCTTAGCATAGGAATAAGCACATAGGAAAAGAGATTTATCAACTATGGGTCATGATTTTATTATCTTCCTATTGCTTAGAACAGCTCTTCTTGTCTGTAGGATTTGGAACTGAAATATATGTCCTTTGATAAGCATATGCTGTGTATTCCCAACTGAAGCCATCACTGTTGACAGCTGCTACTCACATCAGGGTCCCACACTCCAGGTGATGTGAAGAAAGAAAAACAGAAAAGTCTCAACCTTATAAAGGAGAAAGTACTCAGGGGACTGTGGGTACCCTCAAGGGCTGTGCCCTTCCCTCAACTTCTCACACACAAAGAAATGTCTTTTTCTGCTTTGTTGATTGAGCAGGCTTGACTCAGAACTCAGTTCAGGGAAAGCAGCTCCTGATATATCACCTGAAAAAAGCCCTCACTGTTAGGGCTGGCACTGCGGCATGACATGCTCAGCTTCTGCCTGTGGTGCCAGCATCCTGTATGGGCACTGATTCGAGTTCTGGTTGCTCCACTTCTGATCCAGCTCTCTACTTATGGCCTGGGAAAGTAGTGAAGATGGCCCAAGTCTTTGGGCCCCTGCACCCAGGTGGGCTGGACCAGCCCAGCCTCAGACACTGCAGCCATTTTGGGAGTGAACTAGCAGAAGATCTCTATATTTCTCTCTCCTTCAAATAAAAATAAATCTCTTTCTCAAAAAAAAAAACCCCTATTATTGTCCTTCTAGGCTTTTTTTTCTGTAGACATTCATGTGTATAATTGCAAAAGCAAACACTATGCTTTCTGTTGTGCACCTGTTGCCAACCTCAAGAACATCTTTAGTTTGCTCCTGAGAGAGCCCCATGTTCACACGCAGTAGAGTTTGCACCTTTAGCAAGTGCATCCTGTGCACATACCCAGTAGTAGCAAAACATGGCGGTCGCAAGAAAATATTCACACCCACCTTTTAACAGTGGCTAAGCTCAAACACTGAGGCGAGCCACAAGGTTCCAGTGGATGTTAAAAATTAGTAAAATCCAGAGGCATGTTTTTTTTTCCCCCTTAGGAAAATACTGGAGAGAATGAAGGCCGGGGGCCAGTATGTGCTGTGTGGCACACCCTACTCCCTAAATGGCTATTACTTGTGGAATGTGAAACTTGTGAAACTCGACTTTTAATAAAACGAGAACTTGTAATCTAGATCACAACTCTTTCAGTCTTGGCATCAGCAAGTCACTTCTGAGTGCTAAACAAATATGCAAGCCATGGGTCTGGATTCAGTTGTGCTGTCCCCTGCCAAGCTGGGGTTCAGTCTGGAGGCAAGCATGTGTGAATCTTTATCCTCTGGATGCCACAGTGTCACTCGGTAAACTGGTGGACTGCAGACTCAAATCTTGGAGGCCCTGCCGCAGGAACACTCAAGGGACTTCTACTTGGATGTCTGAGCCGGGACTCACTTCCGCCCAGCTGGAAGTTGTAACAATGGGTAAAATAATGTCAGTGTACCAGGGACTATCTTAACCATTTTTATGGTCTTCTCTTTATGTCTACTGCAGTTTCGCATTCGGATAGTGAAAATATAGCCCTTGTGAAAGAATATGTATTAGAAGAACTTTTGCTGATTTAAAGAGATTATATTGCCAATTTTTAAGCTTGGAAATGAATTGAGGAAATCGAATTTACTCTGCAAGTGGTATAAAATAATCTCCTACAATTTATTATTGTGAATCATGCAGAGCATTCATTGGGAATCAGGAAGAGGAGAAAGTCATTAAAAATCAATCCGAGGGGGTCTAGGTGGAATCATTACTAGGGTAGACCCCACAGGAGCAAATGTTGAATGCAGGCATCCATCCTACTAGCCAACAGAAGGGCTATGGCCTCCCCAGCTCTGGCAACACCAGCAGGCAGACTTTTAAAGGGGCAGCTCAGACTAGCAACCAAGGAAGAAGTTACAAAAGGCAAGTTCATTACAAGTGAGCCTGAGTCTTCCCACCAGACAACACTCTGTTTATCAAACTGGAACCCAAAGGAATATTCTGACAAGTCATGATGGAAAATAGTTAGCAGGTTTTGCAGACCGGGCCATTTAATCCCCACTCCTAGACATCAGGGCATGGTCGAGAGGACCTTCCCAGCTCTCATGTGGGAGAAAAAGAGAGATGGGAGTGAGGAAATCTAGCAGCCCATCTATGCCATTCTTTCTCCCCCTATATTTCCTCTTGCACAGGCAATGACCAAATAAAGTGCATGTTCACAAGACAACATTATACTCCCAAATATACTTTATGAACAAGGCCATCCAGTGAAAAATATCACAGAAAACCATCTAGAAAGCTGGTGTTCTTTCTAGTCCTGGCTTCGACATCCTCAAATGTGACCTGCAGACCCCTAGCACTAGCATCACAAGGGGGCTTGTGAGAGACGCGAATGCTGAGGTCCTACGTGCAGCCAGGACCCAACCACCTGTGCTTTAACATGACCCTCTGATGCAAGCTGCAGCTTGAGAACTGGCCTGGTGGAAAGAACCTGGGAAGTGTTCCAGGAGACCTAATTCACATTCCAGCCCTCAAGTCTATGGTCTAATTCCATGAAACTCAGTGAATAGCCATGATGTGCCACTTTGTGCACTGAAACTAACATAAGGATGTGAGAATCTGAGGCAAGTTAGACACGATCCTTATCCTCATATGACACATAATCAACTAGGCTCCATTGCTTCTCCAGGTCAGGGACTATTTTTGTTGTCCATCTTGTATTTCTAGTGTCTGGAGCATCAGCTGGCATTCAATAAGCCTCTGCTGCATTAAGTGGTAGAATCACCTACAACTGTAACAGACAGATGCTACCACACCATTCATCCACAATCTTAGTGATACCCCCAACCTGGGTAGGAAGAACTGTTCCCAGGAAAAACTATTACTATGAAGGATGAAAGTGGATGCACAGCCAGGCCAGGATGCCTTAAAAGGATATTGCCTGGGTTTGGGTGAAGGTTTCCAACTCACACAGACTAGAATGAGAAAGAAGCAATCCTGTCCCAAAGCCCAAATACAAGGGGGAGACAGAGTGTGGACAATGTCAACACCAAGGCGATTATGGCACCAAAGTAGGAGAAGGTAGCACAGGAACCTTGAAGCCAGTCTACAGGCCCAGTGCCTGCGTAATGACAGCCCCCAGATAAAGGGCGGCTCCTCCTCCCTTATCCTCTGGCTATCTTCATGGACTATCCCTTCTTCTTCATTAAAAGTTAAAGATGCATTTAACATTTGCCATTCACTTGTGAGTAATTCAGGGCCAGGAGCGATTGGGTTGGTTGGGACTGAGTCAGAGGCTGTTAGGAAAAGGAGATTTATACACGAAACAAGTCTTACCCTGCTGGGAGGTGGTCCATGGTCATCCAAGTAAGTGGAATTTCCTAGGGAAAAAAAGAAGAAATTTAGTGGATCAGCTTGTTAAAATCCTGAAAGAATTTAACACAGAACATTGAAAATAGGCACCAGACATTTCTCTAATCAGATAGCAGTTTCAAAGAAAAAAAGGGTCAAGAATTGCCAACTTGCCATGTTTTTCCGAAAATACTGAGTTTGGTGACGGTTTCAGCAGTCACATGCCTAATGCACTAGTGTGTAGGCACACAAACACACACCCACAAACAGACACCATTATTCCTCTCCCAACACAGTCATCTTCCCTTAGCCACAGTGGCGGTTACTCTAATCAACTGTGCTCTGAAACTGTCAAGAAAAATTCTACATATAACCAATTGGCAAGTTTGAAACTATGCTCCATTCTGAGAAGCATGATGAAATTCCCATCCACATGCTCCACTTGCCTGGGAAGTGAGTCTTTCTTCTGTACAGTGTAGGTGCTGCATAATTCACCCACCTGCTAGTCCCTTAGTAGCTGTCAATTTTCAATTGACTATCACCGAATCATAGTACTTCTGTCGATGCTTATTTTGGTTAGCAATGGTTCCAAAGTGTCAATGGTTATGATGGCAATCTAGATATGCCAAAGAGAAGTTGTAAAATGCTTTGTTTACATGAAAAGGTGAAGGTTCTTGACTTACCAATATAAAATATTGCATCTCAACTTGTCAAAACCTATCATAAAAACGAATCTTCTATTAGGTATCATTATAATTATTATTGTTATCGATATATTACTTGCTTAATAACTAAGTGTATAGAAAAAAACAGTCTACAAAGTGTTTGATACTGTCTACAGTTTGAGTCATCCAGAGGGGTCTCAGAGTATATCCCCGAGCGTGAGCGGCAGTGACTTAGTCAGTAGAGCCTATCTTAGATTAGGAGTTCTCCAATTTAAGGCTGCATTAACATTACGGGGGGGGGGGGTGCTACCAACATAGAGGTTCTGATTCCATAGCTCTGAGCATTTGTATTTCTAACCAGTTTCCCCAGTGCCAGAACAGTTGCTCTGGAAGGCACACTTAAAGATCTCATGAGCTCTACTTCTCCTCACTGCCTTGAAGATGTCCCTTCTTCACAATCTACTCATTCAATCCCACTTCTGAAGCCTGTACTTACTGACAGCCACTACATCAGTTGAGTGTCCAGCGCAGGGGACTATTGCTTCCAAGTGAATAAGATGCTGAAGCATTTGGAAAGGCATTAAAGCTCAGACTGCCTTTTATGTACTGAGATCACCTGCCAAGTGCTTTACAGGTATTCACGTTCATTCACCTAATTCATATATCTGAAGTGGATTTATACTGTACCCAAGAGCTAATGGGGGTCTGGATAAACCCATAACTTGCTCACCAGTCCAAGGACTGCTACACTGTATGGAAGAGAAAAGACTGTTTTTTCCAGGGCATGTACAGTTAGCTGCCTTGCCTCTTCTCATCTCTTCCAATGCAGATGTTACTCTCTAGCAATGTTAATGCGGTTGATATAATCTGAGGCTTCCATCTAAGATGGGTAATGATAATTGAGTTTTGGGGAAATCATCTTTCTCCAAATGTAATGATGACCAGACTTCCTAACAGACATGAATGTAGGAAGTGATGGAGATTCAAGGATATTTCTAGAGGGTAGATTATGGAGCAAGATGAATGCCCTAGTTTGAGTGAATGAAAGGTGCTTTTGAAATTGGAGAGCAATAGTGATTTAAGAAATTGGAACAGAATGGGGAAGCAGAGCTTAAGCCAGGGGCAGTTGAACTGTGTAAATGTATCCAAACATAATAAATAAGTGAGTTTGGCTTATAAGTTTTGCTATACTAAGTCATCATCCATCCCTTTTTCTTAGCAGTTTGTGATTTATAATCCACTAGATGTCCATAAGGCCTGTACTCTAACTAGCCTTTTGTATATGATAAAGGGAAAAATGGAATTTAATTTTAATACCCAAGACATTCCAACATCTTCCATACTCATAATTGGGCTATTTTTCAGGAACCTTTTAAATTCAGACTTGATTAACAATTTGCTAGATCTCTATTGCTATGCTGGACTCCACTAGGAGCACACTTAAGCATGGAGTAAGATCTATATCAGATTTAATTCAGAAGATGGGCATAAAAGAACACCATTAGCATTTGCCTGGGCCTAGAGAACTGTTTAAAAATATTCTACCATCCTGCAGCTGACAGAAGAGCACAGCTTCCAACTGCTCACCCTAGGAATGGTTCTTCCCCAGAAGGTGTGAGAAATCCTATAGCCCTCCAGCATTCCCTCCACACATCAATCTCTAACAACAAAAAGAGCTCAAGCAACAAAACACTTCTACAATATTAAGCATTTATGTAAGAACCAAAGTTCCTAAAATTTCCTGAAAGGGATGATTTCCAAGCCTGACTGCTACCTAGAAGGTATCTAAAGGAATCTTGCACTTTGCCTGTCCCAAAGAAAACTTTTGATTTGCTCCAATTCCATCCCCCAAATTCCTGCTTCTGTCGTCTTCCTCATTAGGTTGTACAATTTGTCCCTCCTCCTCAAACATGTTCCCTTTCCAGGCCAAAGTCCAGGAATCACCCTGGATCCACCTCTTTCCCCTGCTCTGTGCAGAACCAACATAATCTCAAGTCCTCTTGATTCAGTCTTCAAAATATCCCTCAAAACTGCCTAGCTCTCACCATCTCCTAGGTCTTCACTCTGACAATTCTCTTCACTTAGTGTCACCTTCTTCCCTACCCATACAGAAGCCACTGTACTCTTTTCACCTAATCACTTAGATCAGCTTAGCCTTCTGCTTCAAATCTGTTTCTCTAAGAACATTAGTCGACTCTCACTGTGGTCTGTAAGGCCCTTCTTGACTCAGGCCTTTCACTCCAGTTCAACCAACCACAGCATTCTTCTCTCAACTCCAGGACACACCAATCTGCAGCCAACCAGGCCCTTTGAGCTGGCTCTCCCTGCTTCAGAACAGCTCTTTCCCACCCTCTACATTCATGCTTGGCCTAAAGTCACATTCTTACAGATACCCTCTCCGAATACCCTGTCTAAAATAGCACAAAGGGTGAGAATTTGACCTCACAACTAAGATACTACTTTATGCCACTGACAACCCACATTGGAAAATATAGAACTGGTTCCTCATTCCTGTTGCCTGCCAGTGCCAACCTTGGGAAGAAGTAGACTATAGTTCCAGTAGGTGAGTTTTCTCCACTCACTCAGGATTCCTAGTTTGAGTTACCACCTCCCAGTTTCAGCCTAGATCCAGCCCTTGCAGGCATTTAAGAAAGTGAACCAGCAGAAGGCAGCACTTGTTCATTCTCCCTTTCTCTCTGCCTTTCAAAATTAATCATACAGGGACCCAGCACGGTAGTCTAGCAGCTAAAGTCCTCGCCTTGCACACACTGGGATCCCATGTGGACACTGCTTCATATCCTGGCTGCTCCACTTCCCATCTAGCTTCCTGCTTGTGGCCTGGGAAAGCAGTCAAGAATGGCCCAAAGGGCCCGGCGCGGTGGCGCAAGTGGTTAAGTCCTCGCCTTGCACGCCCGGGATCCCATATGGGCGCCGGTTCTAATCCCGGCAGCCCCGCTTCCCTTCCAGCTCCCTGCCTGTGGCCTGGGAAAGCAGTCGAGGACGGCCCAAAGCTTTGGGACCCTGCACCCGTGTGGGAGACCCGGAAGAGGCTCCTGGCTTCGGATCGGCATAGTATCGGCCCGTTGCGCTCACTTGGGGAGTGAATCATCGGACGGAAGATCTTCCTCTCTGTCTCTCCTCTCTGTATATCCGCCTTTCCAATGAAAAAATAATAAAAATAAATCTTTAAAAAAAAATAAATAAAATAAAATAAAAATAAAAAAAAAGAATGGCCCAAAGCCTTTGGACCCTGCACCCGAATGAGAGACCCAGCAGAAGCTCCTGGTTCCTGGCTTTGGATAGACTCAGCTTTAGCCATTGTGACCACTTGGGAAGTGAACCAGTGGGTGGAAGATCTTTCTTTCAGTCTCTGCTTCTCTCTGCAAATCTAAGTTTCCAATAAAAATAAATCTCTTAAAAAATAATCATTCAACAATAAAATAGTATATTCTTTTACTTGTTTATGGCCTCTTTGAAGTAGAATAAAAATTCCTTCTTGGCCTGTCAATTGCTACAGTCCCTAGCACAGAGCCTGGAACAGAGTGAGGACTCAGTGTTTGCTTATTAAATGAAATGCTCGCAGAGTATCTCTACCCCAGAAAGCTTAGAGTATGTCCTCTGCTGTAGGAAGGCCTGGAAGCTGCTCTGTTCGCCAGTGGCCTGCACCATGACCTTTACTAAATGGTTATTATTTGCCAGGTTGCTTTACGAAGATTGAACAGATCCCACCAGGTGATGCACAAAAGTGTCTCACCCACACAGTACTGCCAATAAGCCTGAGTGAAACTGGAGCCCATACATGTAGCCTGATTGCTACAGATACCTTCTGCTATGGAAAATGCAAGTATATTTTAAGATAACTCATTATCTTCTTACCATCTTACTCCTCCATCTTCCACTCACCCTCTTTGCCATGGTGCAGGAATGAGTCAGCCTTAATACTTCTCTCTGTAAACAGGAAGATTGAGCCACACTACTGTCGGCCCTTGGACTCTGTGCCCCATAATCTCACCACAGACCACTACACTGCCTTTAACCTCAGCAGTTATCAAAACCCAGAGACTGTAAACTCCTCACCCTGGTAACAGAAGTTCAGAAAAGGAAGGAAAGCTACCTAGACCCAAGATGTTGCTTCAGCTGGAGAAGAGCCAGTTTCTCTTACTCAAGATTTAAGTATAGCTTTTCATCCTAGGACTTGATGCTTTCATGGTACAAAGTAAACAGAATGGATAGAATTTCTGAAACTAGAGTCGGTAACTTGTCACCATGGAAATCAAAAGGTGAACACCACAGGGGCTTCCCTGAATCAGTTTCCTCGCACCAAAGAAGCTCTGGCTGCTATGACTTGCAGAGTGCAGAATGTT